GCCCGCTGGTGCGCGCGCGTTCGTGCCGCCGCTGAGCGTGAGTCTTCGTGGGGGCGCGGGGTAGAATAGAACAATCCCCGTCGGCGCGCCCGTGTTCCCGCCGCCGCTGTCGCGTTGACTGAGTGGCGTGCGCGTTTTAGAATATAACCGCCTGCAGGCGCGCGTGTTCCCGCAGCCGCCTTCGCGTCAGCTGCAGTGCGGGCGCGTGCTCGCCGCCGCGTGAGCATTAGCGGTGGTGGTGAGTGCACGTGAGTGAGGACTGACCGTGTACGGCGGTCAGCCAGCCATGTCTCTCCGAGAGGGCGCGGGAGGGCCGATCACCCGATCGGCGGGGGCCCGGCACGAGCTGAGCGAGGCGGTGGAGGGGGGAGTGGAGGGGGCGAACTTAGCGCCCCACCTGCCCAGCGAGGGCGGTGGGGCGCTCACAGTGTAACGGTTCGGGTTACGGCAGGTGTTGTTAGCGAGCACCTCTGAAGGCCAACACCAGGCCAGTCCGCCTTTGTCTCCCGAGTGGCGATGTTAACACACTGCACCAGGTACTCATTTGAGGCTGAATCGACCTAGGGGAGGCCCAGATAATTGTCTTTGGTGTTGGCCGTAAGCGAGAATCGAACTCGGGTGGGCGGGTTCGTAGTGGAGCGCGCTAATCGCTACTCGAGCACTCCCCCACCCCTACCCCCACCCCCTACCCCCACCCCTACCCCACCCCTACCCCACCCCTGCCCCCCAACCCCGCCCGCATGCAAGCGATGAGGTGCGGGAATGCGCGAGTCGAGGATTTCCACGGTGCATTCCTGGGCGCGGCCTCCGCTCTCTTAAGCCGACTCCCCCCACCTCGCCTCCATCAGTGCCACCTTGAGGAGTCGAGGTGTCGCCACAGCCAGCTTACCAACTACAACCAGCTACCAACGAGTGAATAGAACCAACTCCCACCGCCGCCGCCACGATGCTGAGGTTCGCGTTTCTACTCGCGCTGGCGCTGCGGTGCGGAGCCAACCACCTGCTGACAGGTGAGCGGTGGCGAGGGGGAGCCTGGACCCTCGGGAGTTGTGGCGAGCGAGCCTCTGACTTGGACTCCCACTGGGGGTCTCACGCATATTTCTCCTGCACACAGAGTCGCCCATTGTGCGCCTGTCTGTCGCCGCTGTGAAGTTCGCACTGCGTCTTGGTGGATTCTATTCGCGTCTCTCTCTCTCTCCCAATTGGAGCGCTGGTTTAATCGGCCCGATCGTTTGGTGGTCATCTTTCCATGATAAATTCTCGCGTTCAACATCGAATTACCCGGTCGGTGTTAGAGAACGGTCCTCGGAAAGTGACATCACGAGAGGTCATCTTTTATCCGCACGCTATGGGGCAATGCACACGTGCTTCCGCAAGTTCGTGGCATGGCAGTTGACGCGATATATATTTTATTATTATCAGACCCACATCAACATAACCAGGCTGAGACCATCAGCTCGCTCATTCCGATACACCGGTCAAAAATCACGCTTTAAACCGGGAATCAAACCCAGGTTGTCGACTCGGCATTATCATTGCCCTGAGTAACGCGGGCAGCTGGTGGCACGCTAACGAGGATGTTGATGACTTCAGTCGGTGGGTGCGATGATAGAGGGCAGATCTCGGAGGTTGTGAATCTGCTGCACAGCAGCCGCGGTGGTCGCTGCCCGGTGGCGGTGCACGGGTGCTGCCCCCCTGCCCAGCGGGGCGCGGGGCAGCAGGGCGCGGGGCAGCGGGGCGCGGGGCAGCGGGGCGCGGGGCAGCGGGGCGCGGGGCCCGGACATCCCCGTAGGACGCTTCGGTAGCGAGCGAGGTGTCGGTCTTGATGATGGGTGGATGATCGTGTCCTGCAGATTATCAGGTGAAACTGCTGAACACCAGCGTCGTTCGTGCGGCGCAGACACCTCAGTCCGTGGCCTTCGCAGTGCCCTCGTGCGAGATCTCCACGATCGCGGGCACCATGCTCAACATCTTCGTGACGCCCAACACGACCGGAGGCGAGTCTCGCGCGACGCATCGGGCACCTGCCCCTCCCTCCACCTCCAGACCCCATCACGACCACCCTCATAATCACTCCTCACCTCCCTCCACCAACCTCTTCTCCGCTTGCCCTCACCTGTCTCCAGCCCATACCCTTCCTCCACCTCCCTCTACCCCCCATCGCCTCCCTCCACTCACCTGCCCAGATGTCCTTATTACCCTCACCTCCCCTCTACCTTCTTACATCGGGTTACAATCTCAATGTGTGCTGTCATCACAGAGCAAGCAACCATTGCCACCGCCCCAATCCACGCCCCCAGGGGGCGGGGCAGTATCCCCAGGGCGTAGTGTGATGCCCGGTGCCCCCAGGGCAGAGTGTGATGCCCGGTGCCCCCAGGGCAGAGTGTGATGCCCGGTGCCCCCAGGGCGGAGTGTGATGCCCGGTGCCCCCAGGGCGGAGTGTGATGCCCGGTGCCCCCAGGGCAGAGTGTGATGCCCGGTGCCCCCAGGGCAGAGTGTGATGCCCGGTGCCCCCAGGGCGGAGTGTGATGCCCGGTGCCCCCAGGGCGGAGTGTGATGCCCGGTGCCCCCAGGGCGGAGTGTGATGCCCGGTGCCCCCAGGGCGGAGTGTGATGCCCGGTGCCCCCAGGGCGGAGTGTGATGCCCGGTGCCCCCGGGGCGGAGTGTGACGTGCTCACCGTGTGTTCTCCTGCAGTCGAGGTGATCGTTGGGCAGGTGGCGGTGCCGGGGTGTCGCGTGGCGCGGGCCGTGTCGGGGCAGGTGGTGTCTGGGAACGACGGGAAGGGCCCGGGCATCCCCGTGCCCAGCGGAGTGGCCTATCGGGTCACGGGGCTCACCCCCAGCACCAGTTACTCGTGAGTTGCGCACGTGGTCATGGGGCCATGGGGCCCGATTGGGGAACACGGCAAGCAGCCGGAATCTGTTTATTATCGTTCCGCTTGTTTACCCATGACTTTGTTTCAGGAGGGTCCTGCCAAGTTTTCGCAGGAGAGAGCGATGGCTGCTGCTGTATATCATCCTAATTGAATAATTTGCAAGGGCTCATTCACGTCCACTGCAAAGCAGACTTTTTTCTACCGTTAATACGCCCGCAGTATTAATCAGGGCGGCCACTGGAATCGAGCCGTGAACCGAGTCAACCCCCTCAACCAGAATTGAACTCTCAATTTTTAGATTACGAGCCGATCGCTCTAATGTATAAAAAAGAAAAGTTTTAAAACATAGACGTTGAAGAGACACTGAAGGCGACGGGGTGGTCCGTGCAGAACACCGCGCGGCGCGCGTCCCGTCCCCTCGGCTACAGCGCCTCCCTCCGCGCAGGAACTACGGAGGCGACGCCTCAGCCCTGTCCCCGGCCTCACTCCTCCACCCCCGCGCACCAATCATCCCACGTGTACGGCAGGCTGAGAGCGCAGTGAGCACACTCGCGCCTCGCAGCGAGCTCATGGGGTCGATTCCAACCGAGGCACCTTTCTGCGTCGAGTTTGCATGTTCTCCCCCTGTTCCGCATGGGCCGAAACAAATCCTACAATGTAACCGGTATTGGCCAAACATCCCAATTCAGAAAATTACCCAATGCAAATTACTTGATTGGGATTTCGCATAGCAACATTGCCCCCCCCCCCCTACTGTCAAGACTTGGTAGGACCATCCTGAAAAAACAGTTGAGACTCCGCTAGGAGCTTTCCTGGGAAAACAAGGGTAATACTAATAATAATAAGATGCAAGGTACACACGTGTACGCATGGTCCGAGTGTTCGCTGTGTGCGTGCAGGATGCAACGTGGGTTCGTTGGTTTTCTCCCATGGCTAAAACCCCCCACACAATGTAACCAGAATTGGACAAATACCGCATCGCAGTGCTAAAAATATCTACAAATCACTCACTTGGGATTTCCCTCTGCCACAAAAAGGTGGCAGGACCCTCCTTGAAAGAAGTTTGAGACTCCGTGAGGCTATCCTGGATAGGGATGGAACTATTCTTAAACAATAACCCCACCCTCCTTTCCCCCACAGGGTGGTTCTCCGCCATCCAACATCGGGGGTGCAGTCCGTGCCCGGGATCCTCAGCACGGCGAATGCGCGCACCCCCCGCAGCGCGGTGGACGCGGAGGCGTTCTCGCGCTCGGGAGGAATGGTGGTGATCACGGTCATCCTCTCCGTCCTGATCTTCCTGCTCATTGCCATCCTCGTCGCCGCCTTGCTGCTCGGAAACAAAAATTGAAAGGGATTGACCCCTCCCCGAGACCCCCTCCCCGAGACCCCCTCCCCGAAACCCCCTCCCCGAAACCCCCTCCCCGAGACCCCCTCCCCGAGACCCCCAATACTTTGAAACCCCAAACTCCTAAGATCCTGAGACTCACGCTCAGGTCATCAGACACACTCACTCGGGTCCGTGGCATCTCGCTTGCCAGATGAGGGACCCCCCTTGTACTCGTCCCCTCGTCAAATGTGAAGGACCCCTGTATTTTCTTGGCGTTTGTCTTGTACGTTTCCTGCCTAGGGTCCGTGTAGTTGAGTTTAAGGCAGTGTGGTGTTTAAATTTTGACTGCGTGAATGCTGTATCGCGTTTTAAATGTCGCCTGGCTCTACTCCGCGTTCGTTTGAAGACATCGCTGCTCCGCTCCTGTGACCGCGCGGCAGCGATCACCGCGTCCGTGAATTAATAAATCTGAAACTGCCGACCCTGTCTCCGAGTCCCGACGTCGACCCCTCTACGACCCTCTCCTCCCCATTTCCTACCTTAACCATCTCCTCTACCCTCATCCCCTCGCTCTAGCTTACCCTCTTTTCTCTCTCTTAATCTTGTTCCACCTCTTAGCTTCTCTCTCTTGTCCCTCCTTCCTTCTCGTCCGTTCTCGCGTATGCCGTCTCCTCCGCGCTCCTCCTCCTCTCTTTGCGTCTCTCTCACCGCGTCCCCTCTCCTCCCGCCCCTCTCGTCTCTGGACACGGGTGAGTGGCGCCCTCTGCAGGCGATCCCCGTCCGTCTCGGAGCGCCGGGCTCGGGTAAATCGCCGCTCTGAGCAACAATAATCCCGGGCGCCACCGCTCAGCCTCCCGCGGCCACGCGAATTCTCTTGGCGATGCTGCCCAGACGTCGCGGCGCAGAGACTCTCACGGCGACGGCCCGGTCATACTAGCGCCCCCATCCTCCGGCACGCCGCCCCGCCCCCTCCACTCCCCCCCCTCCTGCTGCTGCTACCGCTGCTGTTCCTGCTGCTGCTACCGCTGCTGTTCCTTCTGCTGCTACCGCTGCTAACATGGCTGCTGCTGCCCGGGTGCTGCTGTGCGCGGGGCTCGCCCTGGCGCTGTGCGCGCTGGGGCTGCTCGCCGTGGCCGCGTGCTCCGACCACTGGTACGAGACGGACACGCGGCAGCACAAAGAGCGCTGCCGCATCTCGCTCAGTCGCCGTAACGACCCGGGGTACATTTACAACTACAACAGCAACCTTCCGCTCAGACAAAGGCCGCGCGGGCAGCGGGGCGGAAGATTCGCCCGGCATCGGCGAGAATTCTGGGGCTCCGCCACGCCCGACGCGGCCTGCTTTCGGCACTACAACTCCACGCACACGGGCCTCTGGACCAGGTGCTTTCGCCTGGGCTTCGACGACGAGATCGACGACCTCATCGCCAAAGGTACACGGCGGTGGCCGAGTGGTGGTCGGCTGGGCGGTGCTCGTCGGCACCGCGGGCAGCGGGCGCTGTCCGTGGTGCTGACGGCGGCCGCGGACTTCAACGCGACTGGGGCAGTCGGGTTCGTGTGTCTGACGCCGCCGCCGCCGGTGTTGTTGTTGGATCAGGACCGTGGTCTGGGCAGTCGACGAGGACAATGCAAAAGCTCTCTTAGTGTAACCTGCGCCGTGTGAGTGTGCGAGGTGCAAGTGGGGGGGGGGGGGGGATTGTTTTTCTTCCCCAAGCGCCGCCCGCTCCTGTTCGGGGGACAAGAGACCTCCGCGAATCGGGTTCGCGAGTTCTTCCTCAACGGCTTGGCCATGGCGGCGCCTAATAAACAACGGGGGGAACGCCGCCATTCTTTCACACGGGGCAGACTCTACCGAGGCGGAACGCGTGCTCGTTGGGTCCCTGGGCGCTCCTTGCCCCTGGTATCTACCCCCCCCCCCCCCCGCATGCCGAAGCTGTCCCCCTCGCGCGGGTCACGGCGGTCTCCCGTCGCGTTCCCTAAACCCCGAACCCCCCTGTGTGCGGGTCGCTGCCCCCGCGTGTCGCGCTCACGGGGTGGGGTATGGTTTGGAGGGGGCGTGTTGTTTACACGCGGCGGTTTCTGCTGCTGCTGCTGCCCCTGCTGCTGCTGCCCCTGCTGGGTGCTGCGTGCAGGCGCCGTGCCGCGCTGCGCTGCCGTGCGCTACCACTTCTCGTCCGCCGCGCTGCCGCGCAACCTCGCGCACAACGTGACGCTCGCGCTGCGCCAGGACGAGTGGCACTCTCTGCGTGAGTACGGCGCGGGCAGCACTCACGGGCGGCACCCAAGTGGTACTCACGACACTTGAGCAGCGTTCACGGGCAAGTACACTGCGGGACACCTGGTCAGTACGTGAATGCACCGTCCACGAGCAGGTGCCCCCACCCAGCGCAGCAGCACACCCAGCACGGCCCACCGAGCAGGTCACGAGTCGGAGTGAGCGAGGCGGATGGTAGCAGCACAGGACCGTGAGGGATGGCGGCTGGGTGGGGAGGCTTCATCCAGCAGTGGATATACAATGGCTGCTGATGATAAGAGCAGCACTTAGCAATACTCACGGAGTAACCCATGAACACACGCTCCCGCACTGCTGTCTGTGTTCGCTCAGACCTGCGGCGCATGACCGTGGGGTTTCTGGGGATGGCGGTGGCCGTTGTGGCCTTCGGCTGGGTCGTGGGGGCCCTGGGCGGGTGCCGAGGGCGCGGACTCATGCAGTACGTGGCGGGGCTGCTCTTCCTCATGGGCGGTGAGGCAGCACACCCTGCACAGCAGCACACCGAGCACGGCAGCACACCGTGCAGAGTAGCACAGCATCAAACCCAAGCACAACAATGTTGCAATTATAATTCATAGCCAATGCTATCCGGTAATTGAAAATATATTGGCAACAGCAGTATGGGGCCCCATCTAACGCACAATAAATATGCTCACTAAACAAATTTCACAACTGAGTGCCCCCCCCCACTCCCTACCCTCCCAGGAACTTTCTGCATCATCTCGCTCTGCACCTTCGTGGCCGAGATCAACTTCGAGCTGTCTCGCTTCCCCAAGAGTGTCTTCAGCCTCCCCGGTGACATCGCCCACGGCTACGGCTGGTCCATGTTCTGCGCGTGGGGGGGTCTGGGGCTGGCGCTGCTCGCCGGCTTTCTCTGCACCCTCGCCCCCTCCTTAGCCGGGCCACGGACTGCCACACCCAAGCCCCTCTCCGAGAACGGGATGGTGTGATCCTCGCCCGCCCTGTCCTCGGCGGGGGAGGAAACCCACGGGGCCGCGTACGTGGTCATATGCCCCCCTCCCTCCCCGAAACCTTCCTTACCATTGCGGGGGGCGGAGAGATGCACCGAGGGGGGGGGGGCCCTCCCTCATCCACCCACCTACCCCCCTCTTCCATAAACCACTCCCCCTACCCCCTCGTTCCTCTCCACCTCCTCGCGGCACCTGGCCACCTGTGCACCCCGCGATTGGATGAGGGGCCAGTCGTGAGCTTCTTCGGTGTGAATCCGCCAGGTGTGATGAGTCTGCCGGGTGAGTTTCAGAAGGTGTTAATCTGCCAGGTGTTAACCCACCAGGTGTCAATCTGCCAGGTGCATCTCACCGGGTGTATCTCTCCAGGTGTTAATCCGTCGGGTGCCGGGCGTGTTGTGAACTCGAGACGGGGCGGCGCCCCCTCACCACGTGACACCCACTGGCGCCGCGACGCGTCCGGGTTGGTGTCCTCAGTGTTAGAATCGCGTTTACTGAACACTATAGATGAGAAATGCAAATTGTGATGGGGATATTTGTCTGTGTGTGTTGGGGGTTTTTACGATCATCGCTGTTATGATTATTCTTTGTACATACGAATTCGTGTCGGGGTCACCGAGACGCGGGGTGACACTCGTGCTGTGTGCCCGGCGCAGCCTCGTTTGGGATTTGGGGATCCCAGCTCAAGTGTTCCGAGTCTGCGGCTCAGGGCGTCTGGAATTTGGGATGTGGAGTCGAGGGTCCGATTAGCAGGGGCCTGGGACTTGGAAAGCGTCGCTCTGAGTTTAGAATCCCTGCTGCGTGTAGAGTACACGGATCGCGACTCTTCACCTTGAAGCAGCCGTCACCTCGTACCAGTGGCCGTGCCCCTATGGCATGGAGTGCCACATTTGCAAAAATAAATCGCCGCATTCGAAATCAGCAATGTCCTGAAGAAGGGCCATTTTCCGAAACGTTAGCGTATTAGATATGTCTATGCTGTAAGGGACAGTTATGGCCAACGTGGTGAGATATTTCTGCTTGTGGGTCCACTGCAAATACAATGGCTCATTGTTTCAATGTTTAATCGAAGCTTCATTTCTGAGTATAAAGAAATGGGCCCCGCGCAAAGCCGGGGTTCCCTGTGGTCTCGTCGTTGGTTCAGCTGCCAGCCCGAGTGACGTCGCGTGGTTAGATAGGGATATGGGTCGTGTCTGCTGGTTGACATGAGCCCTAGTGCAAGATGTTAAATTTGGCTCCATTACTAATGACCCTCTCTTCCTAGCACAGCGCCTGCGCTCCTCTGGTCTGTGGACCCCAGCGCAGCTGAATTCCCTGCACAGTCGATAGCTACGCTACTGAAGCAGTAGTTGTTAGGAGTAAGGTCGGGGTGAGTGAGAGGGCTAATGCCAGAGCCCGGTTGGTTGGTTAGAGGTTAGCATTCGGGCTCGTGTTCGTGGCTGGTTGGCTAGCTGTGGTCAAGGGTAGGTCTAGCACGAGCAGCTAGGTAGAGATTGTGGTTGGGGCGAGCCCGAGACTGGTTTTGTCTGCCCGGGCTCGCGTGTCCACAGCCATCACTGCTGCACCCGCCACCAGGGGGCGTCGCTTGGAGCCCCTCTTCGGCGGTTTTGCTCCTGCTCGACGGGGAGATTTTGTGATTGAAGTTGATGCTTTTCCACTGCACAGACCACGGTATCCGCTGCGCCGCGAAGCCTCCCGTCTTCACAACGCCACGCCAGAAGGCACGGGTTCGAAAAGTTGAATCCTGTACAGTATTTCCTTTCAAGGACAATATTTAATAGTTTTGTTAATTTATTCATTGTGTTGACCAATGTAGAGTGCTCGGTTTGCTCGCTAAGATATGGTTCATGTAGCCTGTGTGGTGTGAACGTGGAGAGCCGAGGTTGGTGGATCGTGTGAGGAAGGGCGCATTCAGAATGGATTTCCACTGCCATGATATTAATCACTAGCTTCACGACATCAGTATTGTGGATGCACTGTCAAGTTGCGTGCCCGGGCTGCTGATTTCGCTTGTGTGTGCGGTACGTGTGTGTGTGTGTCTTGTGCGTATCGAGTGCGCGTCTATGAGTGCAAGTAGGCATCGGTGGTGCAGTGGTTAGCACACTGCACTACGAACCCGACGATCCGAGTTCGATTCCCACTCAGCCAACATCAGTTACGAATATCTGAACCGGTCCTGGTTCTCCATTAGGTCGGCTCAGCCTTAAATGAGTACCTGGTGCGGTATGTAAATATCAGTACTGGGGAGACAAAGGCGACCGGGCGTGGTGTTGGGTGCTCACCACCATGTTTGCCATGCCGGCCTTAATAGGTGCCCGTTAACGGAACTTGCCCCAGCAGTCTGTTCGGGATTTCGGGGGAATCTTAGGTCTTCATCGTGTGTGCAACGTGTGTGTCTTTGTGTGTGGAGCGTGTGCCTTTTTTTAGTGAGCGTCCTGTGTATGTGTATGGCGTGTGTGTGGATTGTGTGTGTGCGTGCCTGTGTATGTCGATGTTGTCTATAGAGCGTGTCTGTGTATGTATGCGGACTATCCGGTGTGCGGAGTGTGTGCTGTGTGTGTTTCTGGAGCAAGTACTGCCTATGTGTGTGGCGCATGTTCCCGTGTACTTATGCACTGCGAGCTAGCTACTAACGCTGTGTCGCTCTCTGTGACCACGACTGGAGTAGGAGGCGCGGCGGCGAGGCGTGTGTCTGCGTCCCTGCGCGCTCTGCCTGCTTCGCGTCGCTTGCCAAATGAGTCCGGTGAAGGGAGGACATCGGGACCCATTCATTCGCCCTGTCCCCGACACAAACCCATACGCGCGGTCTGCTTGGTGCTGCCACGAGACACACTTTGGGTCACAACCCCGTGTTTTCATCCCCGTCACGAGGGTTCGCTTCACATCCTCCGCATCCCTCATCAAACAGTTCATTGCCCTGCGGCATTCTAACAGGGGACCTGCAGTGGCAGCCACCCCTACGCGGCTGGTGTACGCAGCACCGACCTGCGAATGGGTAGGCTGTCAGTCGGTTCGGCGATGTTGCTTTGCGGTTTTCCCAAGTAATTTGCGATGTTTTTAGTTTGTCAATTTGACAACTCTGTACTGTGACGTCGGCACACGTGACCATACATTGTGTGGCGAGTATCATTCACGACTGCCGCTGTCATGCACGTCACGATTACCGTGCTCACGTCGTCTATAATACCACCATTATCATGGAAGCGTCATAATCATGAGAGCTTGATTCATGATGTCAGCATGGTGTCATCATCATGAGAGCTTGATTCATGATGTCAGCATGGTGTCATCATCAGGACCACCCAGAGTTGGTGGGGGGGGGGGTCAGCAAGAGGGGACGTGTATCCCGCCGACATGCAGCAGAGGGCCCCACCGCCGCCTGTGTCGATGTCGACAATGATGGAGCTCCACGTCGCATTCAGCCTCGGGTCTCCAGAAACCTCAGAGTGGCCCTGATCATGATTGCCATCATCATCATCATCGCGACGTTATGATCACCATCATCGTGACACCATCACCGTCGTGGTTTAGATCACCGCTCCTCGTCGCCAGCCCCTGGCCGAGCCATCATCGTGACCGCGTCTCGCCATCTCGTTTGTACATTGCAATAAATGCGATCTCGACTTGTATGAAGCGGTGTGCGGTCGTGTGGTCTCATCACGGGAACGCGACTCGGAGGAGAAGCGGACAGCAGGCGCAAGCCAACAAGGGCTGGTGGTTGAGATCAGGGTGGTAGCGATGGTGGTGAAGATGGTGGTGATAATGGCCGGCACCAGTGGTGTCGATATCTGCCTCTGAGGAGGAGGCTCCTGAAGGACGCTGCTACTGGGCAGTTGGAGGCAGTCGCCTTCCAACAACTACGGAGGGCGGAGGAGCGACGCTCACAACAATGAGCGGAGCGCCGTGTGGGTAAAATACAGAAAATTGGCTCAGTGGGGAGCACAGGTGGTGAATCTGCCAGTCGTGTCAGTTAACCCATAACACCTGGATTCTGTTCTGACTTCTTGACAGCAGCTGGCCTTCCACACTTCACGTGGCCTCAAGTGCACCTAGCCTGGCACAAGTACTGTGGTGACGTCACCGTCACGTAGTGGAGAACGGCGGTTATTGTTGACGAGCTTTTTTGCCTGTCCAAGGACGGGGGTATATTGCAGTAAATCTGAAATATTCAATAGAAACATTTTTCAGCTCATGATTATTAATGAGGGGGGGGGGTTGCCCCATGTGGAGTGACGTCACCCGCTAATGGTTATTGGGGAGGGGTGCGGCATGTGGATTGACGTCACCCCCTCGTGGTTATTGGGGAGGGGTGCGGCATGTGGATTGACGTCACCCCCTCGTGGTTATTGGGGAGGGGTGCGGCATGTGGAGTGACGTCACCCTCTCGTGGTTATTGTGGAGGGGTGCGGCATGTGGAGTGACGTCACCCCCTCGTGGTTATTGGGGAGGGGTGCGCGACCTTCTTGTGCGTTAGTGTAAATTTCCACCCGGGCATGAATATTAATGAAGGGGGGGGGGGCTAGCAGTGACGTCACGCACGGATGTAGCACTGTGCTGCGTAGATAGATTTTTTTGCGTCACTTTCTGTAAAGAAACGTCATATTTGAAGCGACTTTGCGTAATAAATTATTTAATTTAGCTCGACCTTCCTCTGCGTTCGTCTAAAAATCCACCGACTCATGAATATTAATGAGGGGGGTGGGTCTCATGTGGAGTGACGTCACGCAGAGGGGGTAGGCCTCATGTGGAGTGACGTCACGCGCGGGACGGACAGACATTTCTTGGTGAGTATAGGAGGTAATGATGGTAATGGTGGTGGTCTTGAAGGTGATCGTGTGCAGGGGCGGTTTCTTCATTAGGGCGATTGGGCGACGCACCACCAATGTCATTCAACCACAGAGTCACGCTAGCCGTCACTGTGCCTCTGGATATAGTCCAATCAGCGTCATGCTACGTTCTGTGGAGTACCGCCTCTTTTTGGGCGATTTCCCTCCAGCTGAGAATCGCCCCGAGTGGCCCCATAGACTTACATTCAAAGATGTTTTTTTTCGAACGGGGGCGCTGCAATGCATTCTCTATGGCTTCCGGGAGGGCTCGCCCTAACGTGCTTACGTCATCATACGTGCTTACGTCATCATACGTGCTTACGTCATCATACGTAAGCACGTTTCATCCAACAATATAATTTGTCGCCACCTAGTGGAATCTTTAATAAAAGAAACTTGAGTGGTTTGTTTTAATAGTGAGTATAGAAACAAACAAGATGTATTGTAAGAGTCACTTTATTTTTCATTAATATTAAAGAAGTGAAGTTGCCTTTACATGCTTAAGCTGTTAATTTATCCATTGCATGGGTGGACCTTATCCTTATCAATCATCCAGACATTTGCCTCCCCTGAGAGATTTTGCAGGAGCCGCCACGATTCGTGTGGATGATAGTGAAGGTGGTTATGATGGTCGTGGTGTTTATGAAGGCGGTAAAGATGATGGTGTTGATACCACTGGGCCACATGAAATCTAAAATACTGCACAACCATACGCAAATGTTCCTTCATTTAAAGCTCCACAACAAAAGTCGGCTCGGACAAATGTCTTTGGTGTTAGTGATGTGGGTGAAGGTGGGAGTGGCACAGTTTTATTTTTCAGATTTAGCCACTGGGTGGCACCAGATGCGCGTGTCCGTGGACCCCCCCCCCCTAATGGAACATCTTCGCCAGTTAGAAACATTTAGGCTGGCCTGCCTACGATCCATCCTGGGTTTAACCAGGCTGGATTGTGTGAGGAGCTCACAAATCCTTGAAAGATCTGGTCAAAGTCCCATCGGTGAGCTCCTCCGGCAGGCAAGGCTGCGTTGGCTGGGTCATGTAGCCCGCATGCCCAGCCACCGCATGCCTCAACAGCTTTTGTTCGGCCGGATCGAGGGGGCTAAACGGGCGCGGCACGGGCTGGAGAAGAGATGGAGTGATGTGGTACAGGAGGACGTGGAGCTGAGTGAGTGGGTGAGTGAGTGAATGAGTGGGTGAGTGAGTGACACGGGCTAGAGAAGAGATGGAGTGATGTGGTACAGGAGGACGTGGAGCGGAGTGGACTTGCCGATGACTGGTACCAGCGGTGTCAAGATCGGCCTCAGTGGAGGAGGCTCGTGAGGGACGCTGCTGGGCAGTTGGAGGCAGTCGCCCTCCAACAACAACGGAGGGCGGAGGAGTGACGCTCACAACAACGAGCGGAGCGCCGGGTGGCTAAAGCTCAGAGAGTTGGCACAGTAGGGGGCACAGGTGGTGCATCGGCCAGTCGTCTCAGTCAGTCGACCCGTGGCACCTGGGTGTGTGACCTCCTGCCGGCGGGCGTTTGACACTTCACGTGGCCTCAACGTGCACGTAGCCTGGCACAAGCGACGTGGTGATAGTCACCATGGTGGTGATCTGCATGATGGTGGTGATGATTCATCGGCATGTTATTAAATTGAAGATGATAGTGGTCATGGAGGTGATGGTGATGTTTACAATCATTACCATTGGGTGTAGGACAGTGGTGGTTATGATAGAGGCCATGGTATTGATAGTGGTAATAGTCACCATAGCAACGATGGTAATGGTGGTAAAGATGATGGTCATTGGAGGAGGTTTGCCCAGGATCCTTTCTGGAAGTTTTAGAAGTTCGCCTTCCAGAGGCGATGGCATAGACCTCAGCACCGTGTCCAACTGTTACAATGACATCGAGAGGTGAAGTATCCCTTGAGTAGTTAAACACAAGCACACATAGTTAAACGCGACTCATCATCATGAGCCATGATCAATCCACTGCTGGATGAAAGACTCAATCTGTCCATGTTTTTTCTCTTTTGCAGCAGGTGCACCTATCCGTTGTATGGGATTGAATAACCTCGGTCCCTTTGATTTGCGTGGGAAGACGCCGCGTGATTTCCATGCATACTATGAAATACAATAGCTGTTGAATCTGCTGCGCAGGAATGTTCTGACGTTTGGTTGCTAGAAACATGTTAAAATAAAATAATAGCAGCGCGCGTAGCATTACACATGTCCTCTCTTTGGTAAAGTCGCGCTTGTTACGAGATAGAAATGCCTGTAATTTACGAGCTTTAATTTTTATTCTTGGAACGTCCATTGAATGTGCAGTCTGTGAAGCGGGCACTAGCGTCCACGTTCCGGCGTAGAGTGAAGATGTCGGCGCCGGAGAGTGGAGCCGTGTGGGACGAGGCGGAGGTGAGCGGCGACGTCTCCCCTCGCCCCGCTGCCCCCTCGCCCCCTGCCCCTCGCCCCTGGCCCTGCTCCTCCTTCCCTGCCCCTCTCCTGCCGCCCTCCCGGCCCCGCAGGTCAAGGGGCCTCGCGGGAGGCGAGCGACGCGACTGCTGCGGCCTGGCGTGACGAGGCATCGTCTAGACGAGAGTCGCGGATTGCCGTAAATGGTTGATCACTAATTAACGAATCACTCGCTAGTTAGTAAGTAGTTATCCAAGCTACGCGTTGCGAGCGTGAGGCGTTCAACGGAGCCCGAGTCCCAGATTCTCTGCTGTTGCGGAGTCTGGGCGACCCAGGCTCGTCCGAGTCATGCACCCGGGAAAGCCTCGCCGAGTCTCGTGGCAGCCTCCCAGGAGCGTGCTGCTGCTGCTGCTACATGGCTGGCCATGAATTTGATGAATGAGTGGCGTGTGTGAGGAAGCCGGATAACCCAGAGAGTCGTTCCGAGTGTTGGAAGGGGGTAATACACGCAAAACGCCGTACAGGTTGATTCAATAATCCAGTGCTGTCGTGTTATCTCCTGGGCAAGTCACGCCCAGTGGTTTCGGGCAGTTTCCCATCCAAGTCCTGTAACAACGGAAGTTTAACTATGTTTGGCTTCATATTCTTGGTTCTTTCGGTAAAGTCACGTAGAAGGGAAAAAATAGGGCTGTCTTTCCGACATATTGAATGTGCAGTCTATACTGTAGCCTGGTTATTACGTTTGGTGAGTGTACTGGCAATCTATAATGTAGACTGTAGCAATTGTTATTAACCTCGGTGAGCGTACTGGCAGTCTATAATGCAGACTGTAGACCGGGTTCTGAACCTTGATGTGTGTACTGGCAGTCTATAATGTAGACTGCAACCTGGGTTTTAAGCTGGTGAGCGTACTGGCAGTCTAGAATGCAGACTAGCCTGGTTCTTAACCTGAGTGAGTGCACTGGCAATCTATAATGTAGACTTATTCTGGTTCTTTCAGTAATAAAATAAAAATAATAAGGCATATTTGAAACACGGTAGGACCAATACTTCTGCCGTGGCTGATCATTATTTTAATGCACGTGGCTTACACGAAATTGATGTCTCTAAGACGATGGTACTTTGCAAGCCTACTGGCTATCAACAAAGATTCGTTCATGAAGCCATCCATATATACAGACACAGCCACAATTTCAACCGAGAGGATGGTGATAAGCTCCGCAATCATTGGAAAGATGTCATCAACCACTTTGGGTCATGACTTGATTTGTGTTTTCTTGTCAACCTCCACCGTCAGTAGTGTGGGTGTGTGGAGCGAGGTGCAATGCTTTAATTGGTGTGGATCTACTGCCAGTGTCGGGGTTTTCTCCGACATTAACATTAGCTGCCCCGTCCATGCTGTTGACACACTTAGGCGACGTCCATCTCTAAACCTTTATAAACAGTTTGCCTTTAAAGGCTAACTCCCCTTTCCCTGATGACGACCGCTTGTGTTGCAATCGAAACGCCGTGTTTTTAGTTTTATATGTAGTTTTATTTTAATTTATATTTTTATTACTGAAAGAACCAGAATACGTCTACATTATAGACTGCCAGTGTGCTCACTCAGGTTAAGAACCAGGCGACAGTCTACATTATAGAACTGCCAGTACACTCACTCAGTTTAATAACCATTGCTCAGTCTACATTATAGACTGGAAATATGCTCACCAGCTTAAAAACAAGGCTACAGTCTACATTATAGACTGCCAGTACACTCACTCAGATTAAGAACCAGGCTACAGTCTACATTAGTCGTTTATTTTTATTTTTTATTCACTTTATTTTATATTATTTTTCTATCTACGTGACTTTACTGAAAGAACCAAGAATAAGTGATCATCTTCGAGGGTTAGCCAAATGCTGCTTCGTGTGACCGGAGTTTTTATGATGGTTTAATGCTCCTGGTTTTGATATGTTAATTGCGATCATAGTCATTCGGTGGTAGTTGAGTGATATAGTAATGGTAAAGGGATGTGGTTATGGTTTGTATGTATGTATATTGAACTTCTTTCGCACCATATGTAGCCAACAGTGTTAATCAGAGATTTGTGTTGCAGGATGGCATTGCTGAGGAGATTCTCAAGATGGGCACGGAGGAAATCATACAGCGCACACGTCTCCTGGACAATGAGATAAAGGTTTTCATCGCACACAGAAAACCCCAAATAATATTAACCCTCCAGTCTAACCCTTCTCTGGGTCAGGCTTCACTTAATGACATTGAATTGACAGACGTGCTTCAGAAAACAAACTCCTACCTTCCACAAAGTAAACATTCGGCAAATTATCTTAGAATTTTATTGTAAATACAAAGCATCACATTCCATGGGTATGATCAGTGGCATAGCATGGTTATCGTGGGCCCTTTTGCAAGGAATACAATGTGGCCCACTTTCCAATTTAATTGACTCTTTGTAGCGGTGTCTGGGCCACTCCAGCCCATTGGTCCCAGTGCAGTTTCAATGACTACACACTCAATAGCAGAGCTACTGGGTGGGATTCTGTGGCTTGAAATATAAACTGCACTCTCTGATTTCTGATATCTTCACAACTGACCACTTATCCTGAAATTGGTCCTGTAATTGTGGTTGTGAAATTGCTTTTTAATTCATCCCCAACTCTGGCCATGTGACAGATAATGAAGAGTGAGACGATGAGAATTAACCACGAGCTCACAGCCATGAAGGAGAAGATCAAGGAGAATACAGAGAAGATCAAGGTGAACAAGACGCTGCCGTACCTGGTCTCCAATGTTATTGAGGTAAGTCACTGCTCATCTTTGCTGCTACGCAAACCTTGCCACTGATATGACCCCAACACAAGCAGCATCTGATAGCGATGTGGGTGTACAGTCGCATGTGTGTGTTTTTATGATTGTCGTTGTGTAGTGGTTAGTACACTGCAAAAAACCCAGCGACCTGAGTTTGATTCCCGGCCACGGCTAAAATCAGTGGTGAGTGATATCTCAACTGATCTTGGCACTGCTATAAATGAGTACCTGGTGCGATGTGTACAACATCAGCACTGCGGAAACAAATTGTGGCCAGGTGTGGTGCCAGCCCACACCCCACGCTTGTGGGCTGTGCCGGTCTTCATAGGTGTTTGCTCCAGCACTTACCTCAACAGTCTGATGAGGGTGTACAGGGGTTTTTGGTAAAAAAAAAATGTGGATTGTGCTTATAAAATGCTGTAAGTCGGGTCTTCCGTAACCCGGGGACTGCCTGTACTTAAAAGGTGTAAAAGCAAGTCATAATATATCGGTGTGTGAATGGGAGATCACAAGATATGTTTTAAGCTTACAATAAAAACGTCAACAGACTATGGCAGGTCATACCAGAGCCTAGAGAATTATCTGGGCAAATGCTTTGCCGCCTGCAATATTTTGACAGTGCCATCACAGTCACTTTATGTTTACGTTACATTTATGATGTTTGTGTGTGTGTGGTGAGCAGCTGCTGGATGTAGACCCCACAGAGCAGGAGGAGGATGGTGCCAATGTGGACTTGGACTCTCAACGCAAGGGCAAGTGCGCCGTCATCAAGACTTCCACTCGCCAGGTACCAGACGCACAGGGATACAAAGGTGGTCGTGGGGTGGCCCTTTCCCCAATGACCTCTTCTAATTGCTTCATTGTTGACATCCTCAGGGTCAAGTATGCAGCCAATATGTTTTGGTGATGATAATCATTATAATGATGTACAGCCTCTTCCACGTCGTGTTCCATCAGCCCTCATGTCATGTTGATGATGGTGCTAATGTGTGTTGATTGTGTGTGACCACAGACGTACTTTCTGCCTGTCATCGGACTGGTTGATGCCGAGAAGTTGAAGCCTGGAGACCTTGTGGTAAGTTAGCGGTGATGCGCTCATGCTCCTTGGGTCATGTTGGGTGGCCTCGCGTTCAGAGCACCCTGCTAGTGGGGCAGCGTAAGACCTTTGAGTCGTGAGCCCGCACGCTCACAGCCACCTCTACTATGTCCCCCTCGCAGGGAGTGAACAAGGACTCCTACCTGATCCTGGAGACCCTCCCCACAGAGTACGACTCTCGCGTCAAGGCCATGGAGGTGGACGAGCGACCGACGGAGCAGTACAGCGATGTCGGCGGTCTGGACAAGCAGATTCAAGAGGTGTGGGGTGAATGGTGGATCGCACAGTGCTCCTGCTTTTACACTGATTCCCCCCCCACCACCACCAGTGTTGCCAAATGAGAAATTTCTTTACTAGATCTAGCATCTGTTTAGATTTTTCTCGTGATAATATTTTGTAAAAAGGACTAGCAAGGTATCTTCTTACTCTGGGTTAAAGACAGATTTGAGAGAAATGTTTGGCATGATTTAAAGAGCTAATAACAGTTTACTGTGTGAAACACTTGGTAGATTGTCTGGTGATGTATAAATTACTTTAGAAGGTCTATCTAGCGACGTCTTGTGATGAGTTAGCAATACTGCCCACCACCCTGATAATAGAACTACTACAACTGTTTTTGCCTACGACCAGCCCAGTTTTTTACATTTATTTATAATTTTCTTAGGTATAATTATTAGGCCATGTTGCTCAATGGAAGAGTGATTGGTTTGTAGTTGAAAGGTTGTGAGTCCTAATCCCTCCGTTTAAATAAAATAAGTACCACTTTGTGGGGAACTTAAAAGGTGGCTGTCACAACGATAGACTCATCCCTACCATAAGAACATGGAATGTTCACCAATAGTTTGGGACTAAACTGAAGGTGTGCACCGCATCAATTTGAGCATACAATCACTTGAATTGTTATAAATGTGTTGTTTGCTTCCGGGTATAGAGCATTGATCTCTTACAGTTCAACCCTGGGAAGCACCAGGTGAAGGGGGGAAGTGCGATTGGTCAGTCACGATACTGAAGAGTGAAGTTCTTGCTGTGATGTTTCTGTCAGTTGGTGGAGGCCATTGTGCTGCCCATGACGCACAAGGAGCGGTTTGAGAACCTGGGCATCCAACCCCCCAAGGGAGTGCTCATGTACGGGCCCCCCGGCACTGGCAAGACTCTTTTGGCCCGCGCCTGTGCGGCTCAGACTAAGGTACAAGCACCCAACACGTGCTGATACGCACACACGGCGCGCATACGCGTGGTCTTCACGGGCCATGCTGGCCGCAGTGGGAGTCCACACTTGCGAGTGTGAGTTTCCTAAACTCCGTACATGTGCATGTCTCAGGCCACATTCCTGAAGCTGGCCGGCCCACAGCTGGTGCAGATGTTCATTGGTGATGGTGCCAAGCTGGTGCGGGATGCCTTTGCGCTGGCCAAGGAGAAGGCTCCAACCATCATCTTCATCGACGAGCTTGATGCCATTGGAACAAAGAGGTGCCCTGCCCCATCCCTCCCATCCCAGCAGCGGTGGAGCTTCGAGCTGTTTTCTTAAACTGCTGCGTTGGCGACTGCTCTTGAGTGACAGTGGAAGGCCGGGCTGCCATTGTGCTGCTGTGGTGTGCGTGCATCGCAGGTTTGACAGCGAGAAGGCTGGGGACCGTGAGGTCCAGCGCACGATGCTGGAACTGCTCAATCAGCTGGATGGCTTCCAGCCAAACACGCAAGTCAAGGTGCGCAGTCTTACAGGCAACACGGGATCCTCGTACAGAGACACTCGCTACCTGTACAGCTATAGGAGGATCCTTGTATATTTTTGCACGTGATGTCTCGGTGCTTGTGCCTTCAAGGTGATTGCGGCGACGAACCGCGTGGACATTCTGGACCCTGCTCTGCTCCGATCAGGGCGGCTCGACCGCAAGATCGAGTTCCCGATGCCCAACGAGGAGGCGCGGGCCCGCATCATGCAGATCCACTCCCGCAAGATGAATGTCAGGTAGAGGAGGCACGGCTCTCTGGGACGGTAATGCTGCCAAGCGGGGAGCGCATTCACCACTTGTTGCATAGGTTCGGAATTCGAATCCAGCAGGCCCACCTTGTTAATACTGTGAATACTGTGGGTGTCATCTTCATCACCCACAGCATCTTTATATTCAGCATCATCCTACACACTGGCCACCATGGGTAATTCTCCAGCTGTGTTAACCATAAAATATTGCACACCGTCTGCTTTAGTGTGGATATCAAAGATCCCGTGACATCATTTAAATAGTCGGCCATTTTGTCGGAATCGCAGTCCAGACTTTTTTAATTTGGTAATGTACCCGTAAAGTTCTCAATTGGGATTACATATCGTAATATTGTCCCTCCTGCGAAGCTACTGCTAAGTGCGTCAAACATAGCACCTGTCTTTGTGATAGTGTTGCACTATAAGAATGGCAAATGCCAAATGTACAAGTGATTATATTGATCATGATTTAGTGGTCGGGTATCATGACACACCCCAGCATTGCCCTGCTGGAAGGTCAAGTCCGTGGTTCCTAATGCTTGTGTTCCTGTTCTGTAGCCCCGATGTGAACTTTGAGGAGCTGGCACGGTGCACAGACGACTTCAATGGAGCACAGTGCAAGGCCGTGTGTGTGGAGGCAGTGAGTTCCTCACCCACACTACAGAGGCTCTGTTATGCCATACATCAGTGGTTTGAAACCGTTCTGGACTTGAGGACCGCTGTCAACCCTCAAACATCTTGGCAGACTAAAATGTACAAAAAAATATGGTGTTTTGTGAAAACCTTTACATCTGCAAGGTCCGCAGATTACTTCCCATGACTTTGCGAACCAACAATGTTATGCATTGTGTGTATTTGGCATGTGTATTATGTGCTTTGTGGGATTCTCACATCGGCCATATCGTGTGGCAGGGCATGATTGCGCTCCGCCGTGGAGCCACGGAGCTCACACATGAGGACTACATGGACGGAATCTTGGAGGTGCAGGCCAAGAAGAAGGCCAACCTGCAGTACTACGCCTAGACCCGTGGCCCCTCTGTGGCACACGCAGGCTGGCCGGTCGCACGTGTGTTTGTCCGTGGTATGAATCGGTGTTTATTGATGTTCCTTTCTCAGCCTTAAGACTTAATTCAGTGGCTCTTAATCTTTTCAGTATGGACGCCCCACCCTCCAATCGAGACCACTAGCTCATGTGTGCAACTCCCACCCAAATTGCGAATGCCACAATAAACATATTGCATGTCCCCGCCTGTAGTTGACTGGTGATATTAAGGCATTTTTTTAAGGCATTTTTTTTATGTTGTGTACAAGTTTGTTTTGTCGCCGCATGCGGATTACGTTCCTTGCGCACATTAAACATTTCTCTGGGTAGTGGGGTAGTGGGGGGAGAACTGGCCTCCGTTGAGTAGATCAGCCACGTGGGCTGTGTTGGGTGTGCTGACACTGTGCCATTAGGTGAGTGAGGAGGGTGGGGGTAGGTGTGTATTCACAACAGTGGCAAAGCTGGAAATATGGATGGGTAGAGTTCTGGGTTTAGGTAGCAAACCACCCCCGCCCTTGGTGTGAATCGCACAGCCCAAGCAAAACTGGCTGACACTGGCTGAGTGAGTGAGCATCCATGCGGCAGTCGGGTCAAGAGTTATGGGTAGACTTAGTCAAAGTGCTCTTTCGTTGGGAGAGATGTAATAGTGACTGATTTGAGCAATTGTGGTGACGTTTCATTTTTGTAATAAAATGAAAGATGTTCTCTGCTGAAATGCTTCTGAATTTGCGTTTCGAAAGAAATATTTGTCCAACAACAAAGTAGTCCACTTCGAATCTGGGTTTGTCATGTTTTTTTTCTTGCACTGTAATTCAGATGTTTATTTCTATTGACCATGTTTCACAGGTGCAAGTTTGTAGGGAAAACCATTGTTTGTGTTTACACCACGTGACTTTTTAAAACTTGTTACATTGGCTTTATCTACAGCTGCATAGCGGTTTCATTATTGACAGGAATCAGTACACAATAGCCACCATTGCCTACTGCTGCCTTATACATTGGGGGAATTTGTGGACAATCCCTCCCTGATCACGGAGGGACAGTTTGGCACTGCCCAAAGGTGACAATAAAACAGCTATAACACTTCTGTACTGATGATAAACTAATCATATGGAAAGGGGTAATTGCACAAAAAAGTGCTTTCTGGAAGTAATAAATTGTGACCTGGACATATGTGCTTTTATTTCCACGTCAATAGTGCCGAAGTTCTCCCCCCCCCCCCCCCCCCCCCCCCACAAGCCCGTACGCTTATGCCTTTCTCTGTCCAAAATGTGTTTAACTATCCATAACAACGCATGTCGCTACAGCCGGCTCAATGCGGTTCTGCTTATTAAACCCACATTGTGATGTGTACAGCAGCGCCATGCAGTGGACACCAATAGACATCGACAGCTTGTAGAGTAACGGCTGGCTAACCATGGCATCGGTAGAGGAGCATGGAATGAAACGTTGAGCCCGGGTGTGGTTCCATCGCCTTGCACACTCGCTCGCCATGGAGCTGCATACCGTCACCTTTAGCGGGGCACGCACGATCCTTCTGTTCATAATATAGGTTTTGACGAGCATTCTGTGTTCTGTGGGGGCCGGCCTCCACCCCACCGCCCTCGCTGGGCAGGTGTGGCGCGACGTCCGCCCCCTTCACTCCACCGCGTCGATCGGCTCCCGCCAGGCCCCCGCCAGGCCCCCGCCGACCGGGTCATCGGGCCCCCCGCACTAACGCCCTCTCGCCCTCTCTGAGGGACATAGCTAAACTGCTGGCTCACCGCCGCCCGGGGTTATTCCACACGCGCCCGCGTACACACCACTAATGCGCGCGCCCCTGCAGGCGATTATATCAACGAGCGCTCGTGCTGCGGCTCTGCCCTCTCGCCGCGCGTCCGCCCACGCAGCCGCTCCACACAAATCACAGACACCGCACCGATGCTCTGTGCTATCGTTTATTCACGGCGCAAACCCTGCACTGCCCGAAGGGAATATTCTGCGAGCAGAGCCTAGCCGACTGCTATCCAAGTCCCCAAACACTCACACGCCTATCACGTACCTCGCAGCTGTACTCATGGCGCCGCACGGACGCTGTGAGTGTAGGAGGGAGGATGACGAAAAAACTCGACTATCACTGCCTCGTAGCAGCACTCGCTGGGATCACATGGACACTGCGAGCGGCTCGAGGAGGCAGGACGGCAGGGGGGGGGGGGGGGTCTTGGCGGCCAAGCTGTTGAAGATGAGATCTACCTGAACAGTTTTTATCTTGACTTGAAGCTTTCGTGACTGCAGGATTTCTTACTCTGGGTCTTTCGGTAAAGTAACGTAGATAGAAAAAAAAGTATGAACGGTTATTGGCTCCCATTTTTATGCCAGGATTACGTGATCCCGCGTGGCCAATTACAATTGTGCGCCTACCTGTGCTTCGTTTTTCTTGCCTTATATGGAGCGTTGTACCGGTTACTTCTCGAGCTATTGTCTAACGCAGCTGTACTCATTAATGTCTGACTCAATCTGTTTAATCTGGACGGGCGTCCGGCTGGCGAATGCACACTCTGCTCGTGTGTGCTTGGTCGACGGGGTCGTGGCGCCGCGATCCCACGACCTCATTGTCTGCTCTGCTCGCTTAATATTTCACCCCAGCCCCTTCCGATGTCGTGCATGAATCATTGCGGCTGGCACCGGGAAACTGTGGGACTTTCCCTCTAGGGACCGTTCGGATTAAAACCCAATGTGCCAGGCAATCTCCTGCCAGGACACTCCGTGTGTGCGCTGCGTGTGGGTGTGTGCTCAGCCTCCGGCTGCACATGTCGCTGAGAGAACGCGTGCATTCACCAGCACTCTGAAGTCAATGCTCATTTGGGCCCTGCTGCAGAGCAGAGCTAGCCTCATAAGGCAGGCCCGTTTGTCTCACTGAAGACGTGATTATTACAGTCTGTGTCCAACACGGGACTGAAGCTTTATTTATAACAGGAATACTTTAACATCGCTGCGAGATATTGTATGTCTTCGTAACATCACAGCATTGATATATAGACATGGAATGGCGCAGTGATTTCACTAGACTACTGCCGCACATGGTCAGAACTTAGTGTTTTTTTCTGATGAACAAAGGCAAACATATCAAATACAATTGCACATGGCTGCTTTTTGTCCGAGGGTATTTGGTGTAACCCAGGTTGCCCTTGCCAATTCGACAATGTTTCTTTTGTCTCAATGGGCCTGTATCGCACACAGTTAAATTAATACAAATGATCACAGCCATGTATAGAGATGTAACAGCAAGCACTGAGATTGTTGAAATTAACACAACGCAGTTAAGGAGTTGAACAATTGGAAACAATTTCACCAACGTTATTCACATCAGGGTTATACTGTAATACCTACGCATTCATATTCATGAGCATGTGACGTCATCCAAATGGACACCCCCACCCCTCATTAATAATCATGAGCAGGCAACGTCACTCCACATCGAAAAGCCCCCCCCATTGATAATCATAGGTTGACGTCCTCCAAATGGACCCCCCCCCCATTCATAATAATTAGCGGCTGACGTCACTCCACATGGGGGACCGAGGCGCCTCCTCCCCTCTCCTCGGCGTCAACTTACAACCCTCACTACAAGGGCAGAACCCTCACGTCATCACGCGATCTCCGTAACGCTGTTGAGACATCAAAGTAAAAAGGACGTCGTGATGAACAAGGGATTATAACCTTAAAATGAAATAAGTCTGTGTCACCGCGCCCTTACAAATTGCACACGCATTTATGCAATGAATATCACGTCGCGGTCTGCTTATCGCTTTTAAGTTTCAGATTTACTGCAATACACCCGTCCTTGGATGGGCAAAGGGCTAGTCCACTATAATTACCAATGTAAACAAACTGCCGTAAATTATTGTAAAGGTTGGGTAAAGATACCATTACGTTCACTGAACAAAATCATGTCTGGGAGGGACAACAAAGTATATACTGTCTATTTATGGGAAATGATTGAAGGCAGAACAGAATATAATGGTGAAATACTGTATATGTGACTTAGAGCAGCTTGGAGTAATTGTTGGACAATTCAGAATTCAAATGTCGACTGAGGAATGATTTCAATTGGTGCGATCAGGAAACACATTTTCCTGCGCATCATATTGACCGAGGAAAATGTAGTACGCGGGCTTGGGTAGGACATTGCTAGATGATAGCTGATGGACGACATTGGTGACAATAGCAGACAAAGGAGTGAACATGCCCAAGAGACAAGGCCAAGGAAGGTATGTAGCGATAATGTGTCATGCATGTATGTTGCACTTATTTCGCACCGTACATAGCCAACCATGCTAATCTGAGGTGCGGAGGAAGAACAACAAATCAAACGCGAAGAGCAGTTCTAAAGAATCGAGTTTCCAGTTTAGATTAAACAAAACGATTTAGTCGTGTGCAGGAGGGAGGTGGAGTAAGGGCATCACAATGCCCTGAGGGATGGAGGCGATGTGGAGAGGCCTTCATCATCCAGCACTATTTCTGCGGCCATAAAAAGTCTGCATCGCAGGGCATTTTCATCGTCACCATCATCTCGCCGTAACCTCACCATCACCACCAGGGCCAGCAGGGTAGCGCAGTACATCACAGAAAGAGCAGCTGGGTTCGTTTCCGGACTCGGGAGCCTTTTTGTGTGGAGTTTGTATGTTCTCCCCCCGTTCTGCATACATATCCTCCGGATTCTCCGATATATGACAGCCAAAATATCCCAGGACTGAACAATTACCCGCAATGTACTTAATGTGATCACACGGTGACCTAACCACCATCTTACTAATTGCACATAGCAACATCACCCCCAACTGTTGACACTTGGCAGGGCCCTCGTCTTGAGACTCAGCAACGCTTTGCTGGATAAGTAAGCGTTATAACAACAATCACGATGACGATGATCACCATCATCATCTCATTGCGGTGACCTTTCCATCATCATCTCATTGCGGTGACCTTTCCATCAGCTGTGCGCACGTGTCCGAGGGGGGCGGGGTGTGCGTGACGTCACCGCGTGGCCCCCGGAAGTGCCGCACGTGACGCGCCCATAAGACATGGCGACCGAGCAGTGAGAGATCCCGAGCGGAGCGCGCAAAGTTCAGCATCGCCCTCGCGTGGCCCAGTGTTGGCTCTCGGTGACAGCGAACGACACCTCACGGCACCGACGAAATTTTCCCGCCGTCACTTCGAGCGTCAATAGCAAGAAGCGGACGCGATTTGTTGGTGAGTTTTTAGCTCTGGCCTCGCAGCCAAGGCCTAGCCATTGCCCTGATTCTCCGCAGGAAGCCTGCGCGTAGGCCTCCCGCGGGGGCCGCGCTCCGTCGCCGCGGCAGGGGAATGCGAGGGCGAGATTCCTCCGTCCCCTCTGCCCCCGTCGCCGTGTTTATCTGCGGGTGTCGCGCTACCGCCGCCGCCGCCGTGAACGCATGCGGACGTGTGGCGATGAACGCACGCCCGAGACATCGCAACGGCCGGGCGGCATTGTAAACACGGTGGGGGTGTGGGGGGGGATGTCGGGTCGTGATGCCATTACTGCGGAATCCAGACGCGGGGCCTTCCCGCCCGGAACAACCCGCTGCTGCTCCCGAGGCAACGAGTCTTGGTCTCATTTTCCCTCGTCTCACTTCCGGACCCCTATTGCCTCTCGATCACCTCGCCGTCCTCTCTCTCTGCCGGCTGTGGCATGCGGGTGGCACGGCCCGGTCACCCGGGTTCGTGCGCGGGGTTGCGCCTGTCGTGCCGTCCTTCATCGTGGGTTGTGCTGTTGTTGATATTGTATTGTGTATAACCGCGTTGTTCGAATGATTCCTCTGCCCATGAAACCCGATATGTCTAGCTTGCATTGTCTCGACTTCGCTCCGGCCCTGTTTCAACATATGTGCGAGTCGCCCCCAAATCTACTTTCGTAAATCAAATTGCAGTCCCGGGCATTGCACTGATCAGCTTCTTGCTGTGAGCCTCGATTGCGGGCAGTACTGTCCTCAATATGGCACGGAGCTCTTTGTAGCGACGACCAACCGATTGCGTCAGGTGTTGTCTTTTGTTCAGACCGCTCGCGTCTGTCGGAAGGAGTGGTTCATCTCCACTTCTCGTGTAGAAACCGCAAGTGACCTTTCTCATCCTCTCAATGGGTTCCTGTTGTGACTCTCATCCGTTTAGCTTCGCACAAGCAGCCATCACCACCACCGCCGTCTCTGTTGGAGAAGCCTGAAAATCAGAATGTCTGCGAGTCCCGTGAGCGGCGAGGAGCCCAGCGAGTGCCCCCTGTGCATGGAGCCGCTCGAAATTGACGATGTGCACTTCTTCCCCTGCACATGCGGATACCAGATCTGCCGCTTCTGCTGGCACCGGATCCGCACTGACGAGAACGGCCTGTGCCCAGCCTGTCGCAAGGCACGGAACCCCCCTTTCTATACACACACATCACAGGCACGCTTCTAAGACATCCACGCTGTAGTCTCACAACCCACAATTAAGTATCTACCCACACTCTACACTAAACAGTATCTACTCACACAGCATCGAATACCCACACTCCAGCCTCTAACCAAACTCTACAGCCCACACACTGAGGTTTGAGTAAAACCCCAGCCTATATCTGTATCTTCACTACATACCTACACCTCCGCCCTCTTCCCAGCCTCACCTGAAAGACTGAATCTCACTCCACACATGTACCTCCATCTACTGCATACACTTCACCCAACAGCGCAGAATCTATCAGCAACCTCGAGACTTCATCCAAAATCTGCACCCACCCTCCACCATGAAAAAACACACTGCACCTCAAAGCCATCATAGGCACACTCACATAGATAGACAGGCACATATTTTAATATGTACGTGCTTATGCGTTTATACCCATGAACAAATCACCCAGAATGTTCCGGATCTCTTTTGATCTCTGAAGCTAAGCTGGTTCAATCCTGGAAAGTGCTTTGATGGGCTGCCTTCATGCACAAGCAGGTCTTAGAGACATCTGTGGGGCTGTGCTATGTCGTGGGAAATAGAGGGCAGTGCACCAAACTCCATTGCTGTGCTGTGCTTTTATGCTCCCACACCTTTGCTCTCCTCCATAACCAATCCACACTAATTGGCACGGTCAAATAATTCCCAAAACCCTGCAATAGTTTGACTGATGGCCTCTGTATATGTACACGTGTGTGTGTGCGTTAATGTGCACTCGTGTATGTCCGCAGCCCTATTCAGAGAATCCGGCTGTGTACAAACCGCTGTCGACGGAGGAGCTGCAGAGAATAAAGAGCGAGAAGAAGCAGAAGCAGAATGAGCGCAAACACAAGCTGTCCGAGAACCGTAAACACCTGGGCAGCGTGCGTGTGGTGCAGAGGAACCTCGTCTTTGTTGTCGGACTGTCGCAGAGGCTGGCTGACCATGAGGTCACACACACATGCACGTGCCACACAGGCACACAGACAAATTCCCCCTGTATAGCCACACACAGTGTTGGGCCAGGTGCTGTTAGTGAGGACATTTGAAGGCCAGGACAGAACTGACTGGCCACATTCTGTTTCCTCCCTGCCAATGTGTACACACCGCACCTAGGGGAAGCCCAGGAAAGGTTCAGATATGAATCGATGATGTTGGCCGTTAGTGGGAATTGAACTCGTGGTGGCGGGTTTGTTGCGCAGTTGAAATAACCACTGCACTACCACTCGGCCACTACGTGTGCACATCCACACTGGCTTGCACACACATGTACACAAATGTGCCCATACATGCACACCCATGAAAACATGGGCGTGCATATGCACACCAGAAAATACCCTGGTGTTGCCACTCACCAGGCAACCAGTTCTTGTATAAAAAGTAACACTTGTCACCAAGTTACAATATGAAGCTTAAGTGCTGTTTCATTTCACAGGAGTCAACTCTTTATTAACTACTAGGGAAACGGATAGGAGGGGTAACCGCAGATAATACAAAACAAGGATATTGCACAACATATTTGAATGAGGTTATAGAGAACACATTTATTGTCTACCCATGTAGACTGGTGGAGGAGATATAGACTTAGTCATTCGGTTTTATTGCTTCTTAAAGTGCTTTGTTGACTTGCGTGGTTGCGGTCATGTGAGCAATAAGTGACTGTTCCTAGATTGGAGAGTAACGGCTAATGTTACAAACTCAACTCCGTCATCAACAACACTGGCCTTCAAAGGAAATAGCTGATGTTTCGGGCAATGGCTCTTAACTGCACATAAATAGAGGAGCCAGAGAGATGGAGACTGCACTATACAACATGTGAGCTGTTACATATTAATATATCGAATAATTGAGCCCAAGAATGAGTCGCGATGTGGATAACGGTGTTGATCATTTTTTAGGTGGATACTAAGAGACCACACTAACATGGTTACCCATAATGCATTGTGCCAACAACATTAATTAAGTTAGATACAAATGAGTATGGAGCAATACTTTTTTGATTGAGGGGTTTGTCTGCTACTTGATATTTATAAAAAGTTAGCAAATAATTAAACCATTTCGTGCATATGCCAATTAAAGATTTAATCAGACATTTAAAACATTTCTCATGCCCTATTGAGTACAGTGCACACTCCAGCTCTTAAGCACTCCCAATGGCCTCTCTTTGCGATGAAGAAGGGCCATTGCCCATCTTGTTTCCTTTGAAGGCAGTGCTATTGACGGAGTTATTGTAATTTGTGCTTGTGCAATACTGCCAACGGTAGCAGTATCGCCATGTAATTTAGCTAATAATTAAAGCAGTGCACACATGTAAACATGTTTATTTTTCTGCAAGCTACAACCCAGCTATGCAACCTAGATTATACCAACTACGGACCAATTGAGCGTTAATTGTAAGTTTTGGACACATTTTCCAGGATATGGATTTCAACATGTTGTGCTTTTATTATTTAGTGGCCCCATGTCTGATTGGTTTTATTTTAAGCTTTGGCTATGTTTTTAAGAAACCCATTTCATGATTTCTTTGAGACATTATTCATTCCATAGTCTGGGCAGAGACAGCTCCCATTTTGCCAGCAGAAGTGGATGCGGTGACATGAGCAGATGTTGCAGTGGTGGACCGTTGTTGGGTTGTTGGGCGTGCTTTACTGTTGTTACGTTGGGTTGTCGTCTCTGATTGCTGGATGTCATTGTGCATGGCGGCGTTGTGTCGTGTCATGCTCAGGTGTTGAAGCGGCCCGAATACTTTGGGAAGTTTGGAAAAATCCACAAGGTGGTCGTCAACAACAGCACGTCCTACGCCGGCTCCCAGGTATCAGCCTTTTGTGGGTGTTCCAAGAAGGTGGAGCTATGGTGCACTGCTGATGACACAGCAGGGAGTGTTTGTTGGATTCTGGCTGTGGCAGTGGTGGGGAGAATGCGCCTCTGATTATATGTAAGCGGTGGCTTTAATCCTGGCTCATGGGAGGAGTGAACAGGATTGAGTTTCTGCTGATCACACCCAGTGTTTCTCTAAATACTCAATGTCCAGTGCCTAACATTGTTGGCGCCGCCAGTTCCAACTTTCTCGTTTTAGTCACGGCAGCCACATCTAAGCATGTTATAATATATGAGCGTTTGAGTGTTGCCATGTGTGTGATTATGCTGGATGCATTCACATGGTTAGTCACTTGCAGAGCAACAGTGGTAGGCTGCTGCCTCGATGTGAGTGGCCTGGTGGCTCAGCTGTCAGAGCGCTGAGCCAGCCCTGATCAAATCTTGGTTTCGAGTCGCTTTTTTAGCTCTCTGGGATTCCAATTGGATTCTCAAGTGTAGGGTGATTATGGTATCGGCTAAGTCACAAATGACTGTTCCACAAAAAACCCTAACATCAAATTTACTTCTGCTTTGGCCAAATTACACTTCTGTGAATGAAAATATCGGTTTGACTTTCAGGTGACGAACATTACTCTCATTGGCAGCAAGTGGAAAAGTGCTACCCCCATTTGTGTTGAACAGGCCATTCGAAGGGATTTCGGAGGTTGCTCTGGTATCTGTTTCTGGGGGCCATTCTATAACAAAGGGTTGCACAGCTCAGAGTTCAGAGTGGATACTTGATCTCATGATATAACACTGATAGCACAATCGAGATAACATTGGCGAAATATACTGAAAAAGTGTGGTGCTCGCATGGGTACTCACCGAGTGTTTTTGTGCTTGCAGGGCCCGAGCGCGAGTGCGTACATCACGTACGTGCGGTGGGAGGACGCCCTGCGTGCCATCCAGGCCGTCAACAACGTGCAGGCCGATGGGCGCACGCTCAAGGTGAACACCTGGCCCCCCTGCAGATCAATACCCCATCTCTTACCACCACAATACACATCGGCCACGGTCAATCCACTGCTGGATGAAGGCCTCTTCCCAATGCTGCCACCATCTCTCATGATCCTGCGTTGCAACGATCCATCAAGCACCTGCACGCATACTGGTTGAATTGCTCCATTTCCGAGGTGGGGCAACCTCTGGGGTGCCTCCCATTCCTTGGCTGCGATGCTGTCATTAATCTGGACCATTGTCTATCCCTTCAAGCCAGAACGTTGCCTGCCCAAGCCCACTTTTCTAAATAGTTTGTACGATGTGATTAACCGATGTATGTTCTCTAATCCATGTGTTCCTCTTTATATCTCTGTGTAATTCCAAGCAAGGATATCTCCATGCTTTCTTTTGTAGTTCAAACTGTTTCGTTCATGAACATGTCATGTCGGGTAGCACACCCTGAATACGCCTTTACTTGTTTAGATTGGCACATCATATACACTCAGTCACTTACACACGCACCATTTAGGTGTAGTCTTGTGTAGTCCTAGCCTGCAGCTTGTGCAGTGCGACGTGGTGTTCGCTTATTACCTGAAAAGGTGTGCCAAGGTTGTTGTTCTACCATGTGTGAAATATAAAGCCACGTGCGCTTGTCGAAGTTTAAGTACAAGCATGTATAAACGCTCACAAAAAACAAACTTCTCCGTCATCATGAACTCTTCCTTAAATATATAAATATTTGTAATCGGCTTGTGTTTCGGAGAGACACCCAAGCTGTTCTGAAGAAGAGCCACTCCCCAAAACGCCGTGCTACGACAATCATTCGCGAAAAATGCGTGAATTTTGGGGTTGATAAAATAATTTTCATAATTCCACCAGTCAAAATTAGATTTTTGTTAAATGTACATGCGAATACGCGTGCACACACATATGCTCACATGCGCACACAATCATGCAGGCATCGCTGGGAACCACCAAGTACTGCAGCTACTTCCTGAAGAGCGCTCAGTGTCCCAAGCCGGACTGCATGTACCTACACGAACTGGGCGACGAGGCTGCCAGCTTCACCAAGGAGGACATGCAGGTGCCTTGGGACCCAGCCACAGGCATTGTTGAAGGGGGGGCGGTCTCTCCGTAAACTTGAATCTGAGCAGAATCTGCCCATGGACCTGGCTGTTTTTTTTACAATCGTCTTGAAAGGATGTGGCCCAGCGGTAGTGCCGCTCGTTGCAGAGGTTCGATGTTCAAATTGGGCAGATCTCCTACGGTTACTGCAGGTGTTGCCATCACGGTCATCATCACCCACTGCATCATCACAGCGGCTGCCCTGGTTTATACTGCGGTGTGTGTTGACCATCAAGTAATCTACGCCACCAGCTTCACAGTGGATGTTAAATATCCCGATGACTTAATTCGGAGAAGAATAGCCCATTGTGTCTCGTATCATGGTCCAAGTTTTCCCAATTTGAAAGAGTATACCACAAATGACATTGCAACTTAGCACGACCTTTGTGAAAAAAAGTATTGAGACTCTGTGAGGCTTTCATGGGAAACAAGTATAATGTATATGTGATGTATCCTTTTATTGCCACCTCTCTGATTTATATTGACCTTGGTCTTGTGCAGTACATGATTGGTTACAGAGGTTGATCTTTACTTAAAGTGGTGAACAACGTCATGTTCTGGCTCTCCGCTGTGGGTGCTTTCAGGCTGGCAAACACCAGGACTATGAACAGAAGCTCTTGTCAGACCTCGCAAAATCCGGTCCAGCTGCACCCCCGGCCACCACCAACTCGAGCCTTCTGCCTCCCAACGCTGCCCCCCCTCCCAGTTGTGACAAGAATGGGCGGGGCCGACAAACGGGCACCTTCAGGTGACCACTGGCGTGTGCCACACTGGCCTGTTTCACACCGCTCCCCTTGTTAGGCAGTACCACATGTTCACAATGAGCACTCCAACCGGTGGCATGATTTTCTCTAACGTTACGCACCGTGCTGGGATACACCTCACCCATGCTTTACCATTCTGTGCCACACCACAATAAGCATACCGCCCCTCACTCTACCACACCGTGCCAGTGGCACACCGTACATTACAACAGTGCTACAATATGTCCTGCCACACCATGAACAATGGCTTTACCACACCACGCTACAACCACATCATGGCTGTACCACACCACGCTGTGCCATCGTAACACACCATGGTGGTAGTACACCACGCATTGCACACGTCAATACCACACTTGAAAGCCTCGTGTGTCTTAACACCTTGTGCCAGTGTTAATAACACGTCTTCTTTCAATGCGGTCTCCCCTCGTGTGTGTGTGTATGTGCACGAAGGCCGGGCAGCAGCAATAAGGAGAACTGGCCGTCGTTAGCAAACCCGGGAAGTTTGGCGTCGGAGAATGGAATAGGGGGTGAAGGCAGCCCGAGCTCAACACCCAGTCCAGACCTCAGCCCAGAGATGCACACAACTACAGAACACAGGTGAGTTTTGTGCACACGTACACGTGTATACGGAGACACACATGGCCATGTTGCGTGTGTTGGCCAACCCTGATCTCCTGCCTAAGTCTGTTGTGTTTTGTTTCAGACCTCCAGACAATCGCACTACAGATGCACAGAGTAATCACCAGTCCAGTAGCAGCCCCACACAGGTGAGATATGCCTTTGCTTGGCTTGTTCACAATTGTGTTCCTCTAGTATTATGATTATTTACCTGAGAGCCTCGCTGAGGAAGGTCCTCTTACGTTTATGCAGTAGTGTTTGATGTTTTGTAATCCCAATTGAGTCGTTTGCAGGTCGCACAGGAGAGGGCAGCACTTTCCCACCCACTATATTTAATTGAGGTCTGTTGCATGAGCTTCAAATGTTTTAATTCTGAGCTGAAATCTTGCCAAACGTAATGTTATTTTTAGATTTAAATTTCCATGTAATAAGCCACTTCGTTTGACCTATCATTTGTGGCCAGGTCACTTTTGAAAAAGAGCTATATAGCTGAGTGGGCCTTATCTGGTAATAAACTCCTTAAAACAAGAAAAAACGGTTTTGTTAACAACTTTGTTTAACTCACAGTCGAGAAGTCCGTCAATGGCGCCTGAGACACGCGGCGCCTGCTTTCTGTGCGAGCCGATTCCACAGTTTAGGGACGGTGGCGTTTTTGACCTCCACACAAATATATCATTAATCAGCCGTCCATACAAACATTGTAATTGGTTGAAAGGAGGCAATTAATTGATGAATTGATGCCGATTTTCATACAGCCATGCATTGTCACCGGATCTGAGTACGTGTGCAAAGTTTGGAATTGATTGGACAACAGGAAGTAGACTAACTTTTGATTACAAGATTTGACTACGACAGACACACGTGAAGTTAAATTAAACCGTTGAAAAATAAGTGGTTTTCTGCAGTTATTGATGACATGAGACCATGAACTTGCCACACTTGAGAACCCGGTTCAATCATAGAGCCGGCTGACTCTGATTGGGTTTCAGGATCTCAGTGGTGCTGGTTTAGCGCTGTAACCCCCGAGCCAACCCGTCTGCGGGCAGGTTCTTAAGAGTCCGTTCGTCACCCGTCTGTATGTGTGGTGTCCCAGTGATCAGCGGTAGTGTAGTGTTTAGTGCACTGCACTATTAACCTGGTGACTTGACTTGGAATCCCGCTCACAGCCAACATTGGTGAAGAATATCTGACCCAGTCCTAGGCCTACCCAAGGTTTACGCTGCTTTAAACGAGTACCTTGTGCAATATGTAAATTGGGGGGGTAAAGGCGGCCAGGCATGGTTTTGTCCAACACCACTCCCTTGTGCTGCTCTTAATAGGTGCTCTCTAATAGCACTTGCCCCAACAACGTGTTTAAAGGATGACCATATAGGAAATATTTGTCTTTGTGGTGTCACAGAGCGGCAGTGGGAACAGTGCTGACCTGGACGGGGGAATCAGCCTGACCCCATCACCACCTCCCGGCCTCCCGAGCCCTCGGCCTGCATTTGACCCCGTGCCGGGCGGGGTAAGCGCTGGCATCGGCCTGGGGCTGGGTGGCCCCGAGAGCTCGCAGTCCCTCTTCTCGTCCAGCTCCAACCCATTCCGGCACCGGCTCGTGGGCATGGGGCTTCCCTTGCCAGACCTGGTGCCGCACACGCCAGACTGGCTCGGAGCGCCCAGCCTGTCCGAGCCAATGCCGGAGGCGCCTTTCACATCCGGTGAGAAGTGGCGATGTCGGGGAGCCAAGCGGATTTTGAGGAATGGCTGTTGGTTGTATGTAGATTTGTAATAAGTTGCTACTGGGCTGCAGTCGCCCTCCAGCGATGGTGGGTGGAGTAGCGACGCTTGCAACAATGAGCAGGGTGCCGGGCAGCTAAACACAGCAGGTTGATAGAGTGGTGAGTGCAGGCTGTGCAACTGTCAGTCATTTCAGTTGACCCACAATACAGTACCTGGGTCTGTCCCATGATCTGCCAGTGAGAACTCATTGCATCACGTTGCCTCAATGTGCACATGGCCTCAAAATGCACCGAGCCTAGCACAAGCACCATGATGATGTGATCTTCACTTAGTGGAGAATGGCAGTTGTGGATGTTTACATGCATGTATTTGCATATGTTTGGGGAGTTTATTGCCCAGTGTGTGTGTGTGTGTGGTGCAGTGGGTCACACACTGCCCTATGTTCCCAGCGACCTGTGCTTGGGTCTAGGCCTTGAGCATCATCATTGGCAGGAGTTTTATCTAAATCTCTGCTGGACCTCCTCTCGGTTGCCGGTCGTAAACGTCGGGACTGAATTTGAGACATAAGTGCCTGAGTGTGGTGCTATCCGTGCCCCCTATTCATTGTGCCGCCCCTTAAGTTCCTCACGAGCAGCCTTTGCCAGTGCACCCTCCCAGTGAGGCTAACCATGCGATGCTTGGCTATTCCGTTCCTGTGTAGAAACCATCCCTGTGTCCTCTGCGACGGACTGGCAAGCTGCTTTTGGGTTTGGCTCCTCGAAGACGCAGGACGACGATCTGGGCTTCGACCCGTTTGACGTCACCAGCAAGGCGCTCGCCGACCTCATGGAGAAGGAGCTCTCTTTGTCCTGCCCTCCGCTCACGGTGTCGAGTGTAACCGCGCACGGGCCCCCGGGGTTCCACAACCACCACCTCCACAACCGCCACGCCTACGCTCACGCCAACGGCCTGCTGGGCGGTCACGCCAACGGCCTCCTCCCGGCGGCTAACGGCGTGGCGTTCGTGCCGGCGCGGGGCTACGCGGCGCGGCCCAGCGCGGCGCTGCCCCTCGGCTTCCCGCTATGGCACCCGGCGCGGTTAGCTCATCACCCGCACGGCGCGCCCGGAAGGCAGCCACCGTCGCCAACCGCGTCGTCGCAACCGCCGACCTCGCCCGCAGCCTCTGCGCCCGCATACGGCGTGGAACCCTCGCTCGCCGCACGGCACGGCCCTGGCACAGGTGGGTGGCCGGAACGACGTCGGAGCGACTTGGAGGCGGGGTATGGCCGTGGCATTGGGGGGGTGTGGAGATTTAGAAATGTAGCCTTGCACGAGCACCGTGGTGACGTCTCCGCCACTTCGTGGCCAATGGCGGTTGTGTGTTAATGAGCGATAGCGTAGTGGTTGGTGCCCTGCGCTACCAAGCCAACAACCTGAGTTGGATTCGCAGCTTTGGCGAATGCAAGGGGCGAACTGTGCCCGTGTGCGAGCGTCGTGTGTGTGTGTGGCCACGCTTGCACGGATCCCGCTCGGTGAGCTCCGCCTCTGCACTGACCGCCGTCCGTGCGCGCGTGCAGACACTGACGGCGCCTCGAGCGACTCTCACAAGGAGTGGCAGGACAGCCTCCGTGCACTGCTCCCCAACGTCAACATCAGTTTTGGGGGGCTGCCCCCCGGTTTACCCCATGGCTCCAACCTACCCCAGCCCCCCGGCCCCCACACTGCCGGCACAGCGAGCGGACCCGGTGAGACGCTGCTCACAAGTGTTTTGTGATTCTGCGTTGATAGTGGAGGTGCATGAGCACAAATAATACAACTCCATGCATGCGTCGCTAACATTGCCCCTGAGAGGATAGCATAATAGGTGACCTTTTTGGCAATGGTCCTTTTCAACAGCGTATTTGCTATGATAGCCCAAGCATGTATTAGGTAGACCGCCTTTTCCTTTAATGCACCGCTGCCGGTGTGGGCGAGCTCGGCTGACCGAGAGGCTCTTCCCACGGTGTGTTGGGGCAGGTGCAGCCAAGGTGGAGCCCATGTGGCCAGGGGACAACGGCTGGATGGACCCTGCCATCATCACAGGTACCGCACTGGCATGATGACCACAGCCTCCCCTCGGCACTATGGTGTGGCGGGGGGGGGAAAGAGGGTTGTGATGGAGCCTGCATTTCTCAGGGCCTCTTGTCGGGAAGTCTACGTGGGACTGTAGCAAGTGAGAATGCATCACAGCAGGGTTGCAGCTCCTATGGCTGCCTGGCCTGTGACTTAAATTCACATGGCCCACATAATTTCTGCCCCTTCATGTGATAATGGTGGTCGTTGCTATGATAACGGTGGTTGTGGTGGCTATGGGAGTGGTAGTTGTTGGTGGTGGCTTTACTAGTGATGGTAATGGTCATGGTAATGTTGGTTATTGTGGTGATGGTGGTTATGGCCATGTTGGCAATGGTAGCAATGCAGTTTGTTGGGCGCGTGTGCCATGCAGGCATCCCTGCGTGCGGGGGGCTGGTGCCGGAGTGCCTGGACGAGAGCCCCCCACACTGGCTCAAGTCCCTGCAGGCGCTCACCGAGCAGGACTGCCCCCTGTCCCCACCGCCGGCTCCGCGCACCACCGGCGCCCCTCCGCCCCACTATCTGACGCACACAAACCCCGCGGCGCACGCCGGAATGCTGCGGCCCGGCTGGGGGGCCGTGCATCCCCATGCCAACATGGCCCCCTTCGCAGGGCTGGGCCCTCTCAGCAGACGCACGCCACCGCCCGGCTTCCAGCCGGCACTCGGCCCCACAAACAAACCTCCTGCAGACTTCCTACAGAGCCTGGCAACCAACCAGCATTAGCACCGCCCCTCTCCACCGCCCATCCCGGTGTGCGTCTCTGGCCTCCCGTACCCTCCCCTATTCTCGCCAACCTCTTCACTCGTTTTGTCACTCTCGAGCCCTTTGTCTCCATCCTTGAAGTTGTTGGATCGATATCTGTCTCTCATTCACCCCCCGCCCCTCCCCTGTCTCTCGGATCATTGCAACAAGATGTATAATGGGGGAGGGGAAATGCAGCAGGAGATGCTTAACATGAAGAATTTCCCAAAGGAAAAACCCCTAAGATCAAAGTCCACAAGTGGGGGCGGTGGCGTCGCATGCGACGAGGAGGCTTGCGCGGTGCCTGCAACCGGCACTGAATGGGTGCGACAAACTCACCTGGTTTGTGGTTTCAGCACGGGGCCCACCTTCCCTCCCTCCCTCCCTCCTTTCCCCAGTCTCGCTCACCCCGCTTCTCGCCGTCCCGCTTGGCTCCGTTTTAATGCAATCCCAGGGAGTGCTCAAAGAACCTGGCCACGCACAATCATTGTTTGTAGTAGATGTATTGTATGCCAACGTCAGAGCAATGCCAGGGTGCAAAAGTCTATGATGAGCTTGGACAACTTTTGCTGGCAGCTGTCACAGGTGACACGTTTACGATGAGCAACTGCAGTAATTTCTGCTCTGGCCTGTGGACTACTTGTACCAAAATGAATTAGCAGATGATTCGCCTTCCCAAAGTGTTTTACACATCCCATCAGGCACACGGGTTCTAGGAGTGATTTATCAACAGCATTTAATACATGCAGGTTCTGGACTGGTTTCAACATTCACTGTCGCATCGGCAGAGTAAGGCTTGCTTAACAATGCTTGTGAACTGCCAGATTACTTTAGTCAAGGGCTCTTAACTTGGTATCTGACTCGAGGTGGCAGCGATGAGATGTCCAGATTTTATTTGTGCCACCTACATTTTTGCATTTGAAAATTATGACAACCATTGGATTAGTATCTCGAGTAGGAGCGAGAGGGAGTAGCGTTGGGAAGCGGCAAGGGAAAGGGGCAGTCGTTGGCGAGGTGTGCACATGATTGTGCTTAAACAGCTGGTGCCTTTTATGGAAAAAAGTGTTCTTGGGTATGTCGAGGTGGTGTTTCTTAAGTGGAAGTTTAGTTAACGTAGGGTGGTTGTTTCTGTGAGGTGTGGAGGCTTGTGGCAAGAGGAGCAGTTGGAACCTGAGCTGAATGCCAGAGTAGGATTCCTTTTTAAAGTTGGAATAAATGAGTGACGCTGGGTAAGGGGGAACACGTGCAGGTTGGCATCGTGCGCAGCCCATTTTTGTGATATAATTTTCGTGCATAATGAGTTTTTGGAAGACAGGTTTCCGAGGTGGCCTTTGGCATTGCATTAAGACACTTCCCTCCTCACCATTCTGGCTCCCTTGTCCACGAGCTTCCCTTGCTGCCCGCCCCCTCCCTCCCGCTCCCTGGAGTCGCGTGCGAGCGGTCGGAGCTGCGTCGAAGGCGCCGAGGACGTCGGTGGGCTCTGGCTGCTGGAGTCGCCCTTTGCACGATCATGGATGAGACTTCCCACCGCGTCCTCGTGTGGTCTCTTTGCTTCTGCTCCTAGAACCCCCTTGCTACGCCTCGCCTTCCTAGAGCCTCGCTTGTGCCCCCTACAGGGGGTGCCCCCGCAGCTGGCCGCTCGTGCCAAGCTCCACGCTGGCCTCGTTGCTACAAAATCGTTAGAGCAGTAGCTGGGGGAGTGCTGTGTGACCAGGGACCCCCTCGGTCTGTTACCACGCGCTGCTCGGTACACTTGGTCTGCCTCCTCAACGCCAACTTGACGCCCCCCCCCCCTTACATCTCATTCTTATAATTTATGTTCATGCAATAAAACACTGCATTGACTTGAGAGTGTGTGCGATCTCTTTTTATTCGAATCCAGCACGTTCTGTAAATGAGAACCAATTGCAGCAGCGACATCAATACCTTTTTTTCCGAGCGCATTCTCTAGATTATGTTGTGCTTACAACCCAATCGTCCTTTAGTGGCAAAGCGGTTGCTCGACTGAGATGCCCGAATGTTGGAAAGATACATCAGGAATTGGCACATTCCAATAGAGCCAAGACGATGCTCTGCATTCCATCTCGGCAATTGACGCCACAATCTCTACGAGATTCTGCATTGTTCCTCGTCTACGTAACTTCATACCAAATTGTCTTTGAAGTCAGATCAGCTGCTCTGCGACCACCAACATGTTGCAACCACCAGCAATAAGACAGTCCTAGGTGAAACATCGTAGAGACGCTCCCAGGGACTGTCCAATACAAGCGCTGGGCCTTGACAAGAATGCTCCTCACCTGGTTCGCGCAAATCTCGTTGATGGACAAATCGACACTGCAGTGAGAACGAACTGGCGGCACATCTTCACGTCACGACAGCAGATGCAGGTTCTCTCCACACGTCCTTCCATCAGACGTGACGTGAGATGACAATAAACTTCCAGAATACAAGGTCCTGGCCAACCCACAACTCCCAATGCACCCAGACATTGCACGAGCCGCCTGAAGTCCCACACGGCCGCCTTAGCCTCCCAAATGCTAATTACACACACAACCAGGTACTGATTTAAAGTGAGGCCCAGGACTGGTTCATGTACACGCCACTTTGTGGTCATGTGGGGTTTGTTGCACTACGCTAATCACTGTGCCACCTCTCGCCATACACAATAACTGTCATCCACTACCAAGTGGCAGTGATATGGTGCTTGTGCCAGGTTAGGTGCACCTTGAGGCCACGAAGTGTCGGAGGCTCCGACAGGAGATGGATTGACTGAGATGACTGGCATGCCTCACTTGTGCGCCCCACTGTGCCAACTTGCTGTGTTTTAGCTGCCCAGCGCTCCGCTCATTATGAGCGTCACTCCTCTGACCTCCGCTTTTGGAGGGCGATTGCCTTCAACCACCCTGGAGCCTCAAAGTGCACCTAGCCTGTCACTGCCCAATAACATCCGTGATGAGCCTCCACGTAGGTCAATCTTGATACTGTTGGGACCAGCTCCCGACAAGTCTGATCTTCTCTAACCCATGCCATGCCCAATTCATCCCCCTCTAAATGGCACACAATGATAACAGCCAGACAACAATGTCATATGCAATACAAATTTTATTAAAACTTAAAGAATCCTGCTTTGACATCACGATGTACAATGACCCGAGAGTGCTATTTCAATCCGAAATCTTCCGAGGTGCATGTTGGAGGTGCGAATGGTAAACACGGACCACGCGAAGTCATACATGAAGTGGCGTGACTTGGGGTTCCTGAAATCACAAGCAACAGCAGGAACATAATCCATGCAAAGCAAAGTAGCAGAATCAACAACTCGAACCTACTCTGCTGTCGTCTCACACTCGGCACAATCGCTCACGAGCGACACAGCCGCCCAGCCACTACATCTCAATTGAATGAACACCTCGACTGTCACACGAACAGTTCTCATTTTCTTGTTTCCAAACTTAAAAAAATGTTTAACTTTTTTCCATGTCTCAAATGAGAAGAGGTGCCACGTGGGGAAGGCACAGCCTCGGTGCCCTTCCAATGCTCTGTGACGTTTGCTTTGTGCCGAGGCCTTGCGGCCGGACTCGTCGCCTTGCAGGGTGCACGGCCTGCCCTGGTGTCGTCACAGCAACCCGCCGCTTTCCCAGGGTGGGGAAGGCAAACGACGGGACGTAGCCAGAGAAATGTGATCGACTGTGGCAGCTTTGCCCACAGTGGCTCGACGTGAAGGCAGTGCAGCTGGCAACGCTGTACAAGGACATTGACACACACACACGCACGCACAAAACCACTCGCAACATCCGCCGCACTTTACACACATACGAGCACGCACACGTGCGCGTGCTTCCCAGCCGTCGTCGTCGTTTGTCGTTGTCGTCGGGAGCGCTAGCGACGTCCGCGGTCCCTGGCGGGCGAGTGGCGGGCGCTGCGGCCGTGCGTCGCCAGCGCGGCCATGCTTGCCGCGGGCGTGCAGGCGCTGGGCTCGCAGTGGCACTCGAGGGCGCGGTGGTAGTCGTACTCCTTGAAGCCGTCGGCGCAGCGCAGGGGCACCGCCTGCTTCTCGAAGCGAACCTCGCGGCAGCACGAGCAGTTGTGGCTGGAGATGCCCTCGGACGTGTACCTGCGTGCGTGCGTGGTGGTGGTGGTACAAATTAGCGAGTCTTGAGCCTGATGGAGACTGCCGGTGTCCAATCAGAGGCTTTGAGGCCGAGCGCAAAGGTGATCTGGTCTTGGCATGAATGGACACTGCTGGGAAGGGCTCGCTATCCAACAATTCCGTTATTCAAGTTGGGGAAGGGCAGCAGCAGATGGGGAAAGTTATTTAATTGTTGCAGTGACAGGCAGGTACAGCCGCGCCCAGGGTGCTGTTGTGTTGGCCAGTAAGTGGCAGGTCAGGGAGCGTGGGGAGCAGGCCCTTACCAGCTGAGCGATGTACACAATCCTTCACAGTGCGTCACGTTGACTGGGTAGATTGACTGGCATCCATCCACCATCAGGGTCTGCTCTTCGGAAAACATCTTGCAGGGTCCCTGGCTTGAATTGTCTTGTGGCAGTTTACCTGTGTGGGTGATGTGGAACCCACGCACACAGAGAATTCAGACACGGTAGTTGACATGCGGCTTGGCACGCATCGACACGGGGCTGGCGGTGCTTTGGGAAGTGCAGTCACAGCTCATGGGTGCTTTGTGTTTTATGATGTCCCACGAAGCATGGGTGAATGTTCGTGGGTGAATGTTCGCGGGTGAATGTTCGTTCGTGTGTAAAGTGTGCTCGGTGTGCTCTGCGAGCACGTGGGCTACAGAGCCGGCGCGTACTGATGCCCAAAACTCACATTGTTCGCAGCAATCCTTCACCACGACGGTGCCATTCTGTTTGGGGCAGAACAAAGAGAAGCCATGAAACGCTCGCCTTCTCAAGCGGGAGTTGGCAGTGCTCGGCGCTGGTGTCCAGACTAGTGGCGTATCGTGGTTGGCACGGGGCCCTGGCACAGGGGGTGAAATGGGGCCTTCCCCTCTAATTTCCCTCACCCCTCTTTGTTGCCCAGTGCCTGGGCCCCTCTGGGCCGTGGGGCCCAGTGTAGTGGCACCGCCTGCACACTACTCGGTAGCTACGCCACTGGCCAGGAAAGAGAATTAGGCACGGGGGGTTACCGAAGCGAGATGTCGGTGTGCATGCATTACCACCGCGGCGGTGGCGGTTCCCAACCTGTGGTCCACAAGGCGATGGGAAGTGGCCCACAGAGGCCGCAGTTGTTCACAGCACACTGCCGGTCTTACTACACATTAGTCCGCGGGTGCGGTTAGTCACCCCCGCGTCAGCGCGCGTGTGCGCGTGTTCGGCAGTCTGCGTGCGTCAATGCATTTGAAAGGGTGCACACACTTACCTCCAGCGCACAGTCTTCCTTACTGAATTCTGGACAAAACACTTTGGTCACCACCAGCAGGGCATCCCCATTCAACTCCTCACAGCTGTACGACGTGCAGTTTTCTTTCCACGACGTGCCCGTCTGGAGCAGAGGCATTGCACGAGAGAGCATAAGTCGGTACCACCTAAGGTAGCAATACTTTAGTAGTGCTGTGTATTTATACAGCCAAGATGACTGAGAATTGTTGTTATCATCAACGGGATCACATCATGTACGTCGGTGCGTTGAGGAGCCCTCATCAAGTCTCACCGGAATCAACGTGCCGTTCCAGGTCTTGCAGACTGCATGGCACACGAAGGGCGCGAGCGTCAAGCAACAGGAACACGCAAAGTTGACATGGGACACACAAATACAGAACAGAGCTGCAATACCGCTCAGAGACGCGGGGTGCCACTTTCCCACAGACCAAACCCAGAGGTGTTTCTCTATCAGAGCTGTGCAGCGTTGGGCAGCACGGCGCGTGTGCTCACGTACACAGGCAGTCCTTGATGCACTTGACAGTGACGGGGCTCTGCTGATGGGTGCCCTGGGGGCAGTAGCAGCCCTCAGCGCCATGGGGAGTGAGGTACGGCGCATCAAGTTTGGCGATTCTGCGGAAACGTCAACACGGGAGTTACATATAGCATTGGCTACAATGTGTCGTGCAATGTTAGGTCCAGATATCTTCCTATCTAGTATAAATGTGTTGCTTGCTGGCGACAAAATATGCATGAAATAACAATCACCATATTCAAATAACAATCACCGTAATCAAAGAACGATCACCAAAATAAAAGTGAAACGAGACGGAGGTGGGGCGACCACGTGGTGTGCAGCGAGGAGGGGAATGTCATCAGCATCTCCGACGAGCACAGTTGGCTACGTACGGTGCGAAAGAGGTTCAACATACAACATACAGGAATAGGAGAGTGAGAGCGATGATGGGGCTGAAGTGGTGCCTTCCACAGACAGCAGTGGAAGGAGAGACAGGGAGGAGGTCGACCTTGGAGGTGGACCCATAGCAACGTGGGAGTCGTGGCCGCAAGTTCTGTATGTGCAGCTCTCGCCCGTTAAACCGCGGCAGCAGTGACGAGCGTGTCACACGGCAACCGCTGCCGCGAGGCCATTTCTTCACCGGCCCCGTGACTCAGCGGCAGAGCGAGCGGCTCACAATCGGAAGGTCAACAGTTCAAATCCCATTTGGGGGTTGACCTGGCCCATCATTCCTCTGGGGTCGATAAAATAGCACCACTTTGTGGGAGGTCAACATCGGTTACGGTATGGATAAACTCGTCCCCACCATACGAATGCAGAATTTCCACCACTGGCTCTGCAGGGCTGTAAACAAAAGATGAGCACCGATGCCTCGATGCTCACTCGAGCAGCAGCAGCAGGAAGTCACTGGGAGCTCTCTGAAGGGGTGAGCGAGCAGCCGGGCGTGCCCGCGAGTG